GTGTTAATGGCGTGGGCGTGTTTACACAACATTATACAAGAAGGCGACCTTTACGTGGCCGTCCAATCAGAAGCTCTGCTCGGTTACATTATAAAAAGCTGTGAGTGTAACCTGCTCGTATCCGGCTCTCCTGGCGCTCAGAGTTCTTCTTCTTGTCCTTCACTGTCGGTCTCTCTGGAGTCTCCAGACGCTCAAAGGGATCCGGCGGCTCTTCATCAGCAGATGTTTCTTCTTCTATGGTAATCACCGGGTCTGCCATGGCCATGGCGGCCCTCTTGGCCCTTCTCCTCTCTTTAGAGCTCTTATCATCCTCATCATCCTCGCTGTCACTCATGTCATCAAAGCCAAAGTATTTGATCTTGTAGCTGGATCCTCCGTCTGGATTGTCTGCGCTGTTCTCCTCCTGACGGACTTCTGTGTCATCGAAACCAAACAGCTCCAGTTTGCTGTCCTTCTTAGACTTGGCCTGGGTCGGTCTGGACCTGAGAGAGGACAGGACACAGAGACAAACACAGGTTAAAGGCCACATATCCTCCTCCTCTTCTTCAGGTTAAATAAGTGTCAGAGCTCCTCTTCAACATGTGTGTGAAGTTTCTTGTTCTAAATCCACTCTGATCCTGTATTTGATCATGTCTATAAACCCCTCTATTTCAGCCCTGCTCAGAACAGGCTGTTTCTGTGTCTGTACCTTTAAATATGTAAATGAGCTGTGTCTGACCACGCCCCCTCTCTGGACGGGCTCGGTTGTACTTGGTCTTTCTCGCTCCATGTCCTATTGTTTACGGTAAGAAGGCAGAATCAAGAGGCAGAACAAACACCTAGCTGTGGGAGTGTCACCACCTGGGGGAGGGGCTACTGCCCTTTGTGATGTCATGAAGGGAAAATCTCCAAACGGCCTGTTTGAGCACACATTTTCTGAAAAGTGGAGCAGGCAGAAGATGGAGAGGATGGACTTTTCTCATCATTGGGGGGTTTGTAGACGGAATAGAGACACATGTTAGAGTTAGAGGAACATGAGGAAGTGGATTATGATAACATGTGACCTTTAAACCGAGGTCGAGTTTGGGTCGTTGCTTCAAACTTCAGGGTCAGTGAAAGGACCTGAAAGATCCTCCTGCAATATGTTAACTGTTACTTTGACCGGCCGTGTCTCCATGAGGTCTCTCATATTCAGAGTTTGTTCCTCAGTCCACTCACTTTGAATATTCTCACAGGGGAAAAGTTTCAGTCATTACAGGGATTTGATCCTCAAAAGGAGGATTAGTTTGTCACACTCCGACTGTAACCACTGAGCCCGTCTGGTACAGTTTCTGTTGCTCTGAGAGGCTCAGGACGGATCTCTATAGAGACAGAACTTTGTGTTAGGGGGTAAAAACTAGACCTGCAGAACAGGGGAGCTGCTGTCCTGACCCGTCAGGGGGGTCTTAAGTCGACCCTTAACAACACCAAACTAACCAATGGAGGCGTCTGCAGAGAGGTAACTCCTGAACTGTTATCTATGGTGGCTCTAGTTCTGGTTCTACAGACAGACCCAGCCCTGCCCCCTCATGGTACCCTACCTGGTGTTTTGTTGTTCTGTCTTTTTCCGCTGCCAGCCCGCCTCTCCCACCTCCGCCGTGCTGCCGGCACCCGCTCCACTGCTACCACTAGAGGGCGCTGCATCAGTGCTGAACTCCTCCACTCCCCGCTCCTGGATGGTGACGTTACACATAGAAACTGAAGAGGGGTGCAGCACCGTGTAGTCCCTCGTCCTTCCTCTTCCCCGCCCCCCTCCGCCCCCCGTTGTCTTATTACTGCCATCTGAAGTGGTTTTGGGAAGGTCAAAGCCGCTGGAGTCCGAGGCTTTGCCGGCGCCCTGTTTGTTTGGCCTCCTGTATGTCCGACAGTTAGAGTTTCTTATGAGTGATGAGGAGGAGGACGAGGAAGTCTGGGAGTAATCTGATGTCTCCACGAGGAAGTCTGAGTCCCCCCCAAGGTCCTGGCTCAGGCTCTGGAGGCGTGGGGGGGAGGGGGGCTGCCGTATGTTACAGCTGCCCGTGGTGACCCCCGTGGATACCCAAGAGAGGGTTGGGGCGGGGTTGCGAGGTTCCTGGCTGGGTGAGGGTGGACGGAGACCCATGATGGCCTCCCAGGAGTCGTAGGTGGAGTCGGCCTCTGAGCCGGTCTTCAGGGTGATGGTCTGAGCCAGCGGCTTCTTGTCACTCTCAGAAGCATTTTGGTACCACGAGTAGCTGTGCTGGTTCTGAGACAACGAAGGACCCTGCTGGGACTTCCCTGTGGAGAAGGAAACATCAGAATCAAGAGTTTCTAAAGATGACATCACACTTTTTAAGACCTCTGACTGGGGACGCACATCGAAATGAAATGTCACCGAGACACATCGCAAAAGAACAAAATCATTTCAGGAAATAGGAAAAGTTCTTTATAGAAGCAGACGATGCTCCTGGTGGTGTCTCAGTGTTTAGACCTCACCAAGAACATCACCTGAAAACACCTGAGCCCTCTCACTCAACCTCGCTCTCGCCCTCAAGTCTGGAGGTTAACAAACGCCTCTCAGCGTAACGTCATATGGTCACAGTGGATAGTGACGAGGTGCTCACTGCAGAAACACGGCGTGCTCAGGACAAACAGGGTTTGAATAATGACTGCATTACTGCAGCTGAAAGCATGAAGAGAACACAGCTGGAGCCTCGGCTCAAAGTAACAGCTGGTTTATTTTAACCCCAGAGGGGGCTGAAGCTACTCTCCACAGGGAACCACATGTTCAGGTTATTAGCAGCCCGTGGTCATTTCTGCCGCCACAGATAACAAACAGGTAATCAGAGGTCGTTACTGAGAGCGGAGCGGACAGGAGAAACATCATGACGTGGGAGAGAAGAGAAGAGCTCGTCATGACAACATCCAATACAAAGAATAAACACAAACGTTTGTCTTCCCGTCATCAGGACGATCAGAACATTAAGATGTGACGATTATATTAAACTCACTGATGTTCAGAGAAAGAGCCTGACATTCTCTCTGCTGAGTCAGAAACAACAACAACAACAACAACAACAACAGGACGAGGCTTTAAGACAATGACACGCTGACTGAGGATGATGTTTGAGATGATTTACAAGAAGGCCGATGAGTTTTATGTGCGTCTTCATGTGCAGAGTCAGAATGAAAAACCTGCTGAGTCATGTTAATGGACCTAAAGGGGGCAGAAGATCAGATTCTTGTTCTACCAGGTTTAAATCCAGGAAGTGGTCTCCTGTGTTCAAAGTGTTAGCTTTAGCGGTTTAGAAGTAGCATGCTAGCAGAGAGACATAAAGACGTAGCGTTAGAAGGCCTGAGCGTCAGAGCATGAGAAGAACCAATCAAACACAGTCTGCTTTGGTGTCTGTAAGGACACATGGTCATCAGTGAGATGGCGTGATGCTGCTCAGTGATGCTAACATGACTACATCACGTGTTAGTCTTCAGATCTGTGCTGCACGTCATCTGATAAACATGAATCATTATCTCAGAGAGACTCGAAAGAGCCTTTTAGTTTACAGCTCATCAAGAACATCACCTGAAGACACCTGCGCCCTCGCTCTCACCCTAACTCTCACCCTCACTAACTCTCACCCTCACACACTAACTAACTCTCACACTAACTCTCACCCTCACTAACTCTCACCCTCACTAACTCTCACCCTCACTAACTCTCACACTAACTCTCACACTAACTCTCACACTAACTCTCACACTAAGTCTCATACTCTCACCCTCACACACTAACTAACTCTCACACTAACTCTCACCCTCACACACTAACTAACTCTCACCCTCACACACTCACTAACTCTCACCCTAACTCTCACCCTCACTAACTCTCAC